AGAAGAAGATAAATATTCGAATAAACCGAGAAGAAGATAAACACGAAAGAGTAAATACGAACGAGAGCAAACCAGCCGAAATCAGCTGATTAAAGGCCGAGGTACCGGGGGAGGGATTCTGGGCAGGACCTCCAGCCGCAAGGTGGTTGCAGGTGGTTTGATTGGAGCGCGGATTTTCAGGAAAGTGGGGTGTCTTTAAAGGACCATAACTTCCGTAATAGCGGACCTTGGGAAAGAGAAGAACGCAGTGGTATGGAGAAAGATTTTATCTTTCCAAAACATACTACGAATTCATGTAGAACGAATAACGAATTCATGTAGAAATTTGCGTTGGGGAGTTTTTAGGGAGTTCATTTTTTGGATAGTTTGGAGCGCGAGTTTTACAGGTTTGAACCAAGATATTTCCCTTGAACCTCAATAGTTTGGGAATCTGAAACTACTGTCGAGTTCTAGAAGATTTGCTCTTTCCAAAAACTACTTGAACGTTTTTTGAAGCTTCCGGGAGTCATGAGATAATTGCGTTGGGGATTATTTGGGGAACACTCCGAACTGTTCGAACCGTTTTCTGTGTACGGTTTCAAGGAGCGTGTTCGAATAGCCAGAAATACATGTAGAACGTATCCTGTGGTGGAGCAGGAGCAGGATGTGGTTTGTTTAGCGCCAATCATGCTAACTTTGGATGCGCCGCGCATTGAGGTCCGCGCAGAGGGATGGTGCAACTTGTGCGTAATGTCTGTCCACGCGAGCAAATGTGTCTATAGGATTCAGGGAGGTCCATGGCGAACCTGTGCACTTGTTTACAGTGTTTTCCGTTGCGTATGATGGAGCGTGTCCTCATAGATGTTGAATATCGTGAATACGCGGGACGTAAAGCAAGAGAAGCAGCTGAAAAATGCACGAGCATCAAAAGAACATTCATCAACACTCGACTCAAAACCATTACCCCTGAATATCTCACAAAAGAAGATGGCTCTGTTGTCAGGAATAAAAAGGAATGGAAGGAGAAATTCGAAACTTTTTCCAAGACCTCTTCTCCACAAAAGTGCTGGTGCAACCTAACATGATATTTTGTGAGAATGATGATGATACAAGAGATGAATGGAAAGTACTTGAAACGGAAGTTTTGAAGGCTATTCAACAGATGAAAGGAGGAAGAGCGCCTGGACCAGATCGAATTCTGGCAGAACACCTGAAATGTCTGAAGGAGTTCATTGCCCGCCCTTTGGCAGACATTTTCACGGAAATGCTGGCGTCGGGAATTGTACCAAAGGAATGGCTGGGCTCGAATACCATTTTGATCCACAAAAAAGGACCGCGTGATATACTGGCCAACTACCGTCCTATAGCGCTCCTGTCCACAATACTCAAAATCTTCTCACGTATCATCCTCAACCGCATAAGTGGAACACTCAATATAAATACGAGAAGAGAACAAGCCGGATTTCGTGAAGGCTTTTCAACCATCGATCAGATACATGTGATTTCTCAACTTGCGGAAAGATGTCGAGAATACCGAATCCCGCTATGTTATCTTTTTGTTGACTTCAAAAAGGCATTTGATACGGTCGAACACCAAGCGGTACTAAACGCACTTGCCACGTTCGGAATTTCAAGAAGATATATTGAAATAATACGACAATGTAACACGAGCTGCTACACTGACATAAAATTGCTCAAAGAACCAGTTCGTGTAAAGATCCAACGTGGCGTACGGCAAGGCGAGGTTATCTCTCCAAAACTATTCTCTGCGGCTTTAGAACTTGTAATGCGGCAAATTGAGCTGCCTTGTGGCATTGAGTTAAACTGCGAAAGACTTCAATACTTGATGTTTTCAGACGACATAGTCTTGATTGGAAGCGAACCGAGTGCACTCGAAAGCTCCCTGAATATTTTGAGCGAAGCCTCCCAATCCATTGGACTTGTAATACATCCAGGAAAAACCAAGTGGATGAAAAACAACTACACCGAATGACTATCGCTTATGCATGAAAGGATCAGTCATTGAAGAAGTCTCATCGTACACCTATCTTGGCCAAGCAATAACGATTGATAATGATCTTGCAAAAGAAATCAACCGGCGTCGAAAGGCGGGATGGGCCGCATTTAAAGGCACAGTTCGCGACGGCGCAAATTGCGGATAACAGGAACCAAATAGGCACTAAAAAAGTGCTAAGGATCTGATTATGGATGAAAGGATAGCAGTAAAAGCAGTCCGAAATGTTATAGAGAAAGATAACATAGTGGCTACTAGCTAGTAGCTAGCAGCCGGTGAGGGTCGGCATGGGCCTAAGGGGTGTCCATGGGCCTAATTAGTCAGCTTCTAGCGGAGTTCTTGCCGTTTTTCACATTTTGAAAGTAGCGCAGCTTCTTTCTTGCTTTCTAATATAATGCTTTTCTCTTGTTGTTATTCGTCCATTGATTTCATGGTCTGTTTTTTTTTTGTATCTATTGGATTGAGGTCACTTAGCTCTTTATTTTTCTTTTGGCTTGTGAGGACATAATACCGAGTAATGTTTTCACCGGATTTATGATTCGGAAACATTCAATATAGATTCTTTTGTGTGTTGTCATATCTATTTCATTTTTTATCAGCACTGGTCATAATTGTGGAAGTGTGAAACATGGTGCACAAGCTGATAGATTGATGGTAGTGAAGACAGTAACTAGCTATAACGCCAAAGGCAAATGGAGCGAGCAAATGTGGTACAGATGATGAGCTTGGTGTCAAGAGTTTCATAACACGACCCCCCGCCCAGTTACAACAACATTGCACCCAGAATCCTGCTCGTAGAAATCCGAAGTACGGACACGGTGTATAAGATGTTATCTGAAACCACATTATAAGTACTACGAAAAAACAGATGGGCTAAAAACTTTAAGCAGTTGCTCGTCTGACGAATACCGATGACATACAGCGTTAATCGTAACTGTTATCTCCTGTGCGTGTAAAAAGGCCCACAAGGAAGAACCCAGCCGCAGGTTGAAGTGATCCTTCAAGAAAAGCTGTATGCAGAGAAATGGGGAACAAATGTAAAGAAAATTCGTTAACGAATGGCATATGAAATTGTCCTGCCAAGGATGGGAACCAACCTTGAAGAGCGATACATCAAGGTAATGATAGAGATGTGTTCTGTCTACGGTGGCGCGGGCAAGATTTCGTGCTTGCGGTCCGATATGCTGATTTCGTCGATAAAGAGATACATTGAAGTGACTTGGAAAAACGTCCGGATACGACGATAATGTATTCCTAGTCTTTCGTCGAAAACAGTTTGGCTCAGCGCCAAGCCGTTCTAGCGGACGAACGCTCTCATTCATACCGGCCAGCGAATTCTCAAGGGGTGTTGGATTTTATTTATTAGCCAAACTTACGAGATGATGTCGACTTTATTGATATTTCCAGTTATTTCGGATTAGTTTGATGAATGAAAGTTTTGTACTATTTTTTTGCATATCCGAGTTCTCTACAAAGCAAATTTCGCTGTACGTACAGTATTGTCACTTGCCCGCTTCAACAACTGGTGTAGAACGAGTTTGGCACCGCGCCAAACGCAGCCGCACTGACACGCCCAACCGTCTGCAGCGAACTACACCTTTCAGTAGATTCCAGGCTTGTGAGTGGTAAATCCCGGACAGAAAAAGGCATTATTCATACGCGTGGTGACCCAAACACACATTCACGAAAGGGACCGTACGACTGAATAACTCGAATTTTGGAATGAGCAAGACTGGCCGATCCGTAAGACCCAGGCTTGAAGGGAAGGCAAGGGATGGTGGTCCCAGTCCGCACTTTCCTATCAGCCCACAGGGACTCTGTGGGATGGGTCTGTATTTGGCTTTTAATTAATTGTCATGAGAAGAAAAATATCAGAAATTCCAACTGCGATGATGATGTGGCTAGGGAAAACAAGTGATATAAGTGAACATGGAATGATATCAAAGAATGGGACGCGCAATTATAGGAAACCGGGTCATTTTTATGCAGGAGTATAAAACCACCGGAAAGGTCGCCGTGTCAGCAGGAATGCTATGCTACTTTCGGGAAACCAACAAAATGGCTCGAAAACAAAGCTCACGTTACCGTAATCCTACTACCGTAATCTTTTTGACAAGAAGCAGTTCTACCAAATGATCCGCATCTATGAACTACGCTAGCACCACTGAGAACTCACTAAAGTGAACAGTTTCATTGTTCTAGTGCATCATTCGAATAATTAGCGAATGTCCGTGGCGTTTGTTTCATAAGTTTCCGACGATCTAGATGGCATTTTTCTTTGATCTGGACTGACCCTGACGTTTCTTTATCTGCTTATCACACTATGGTTATCGTGAAATGTGGCTTCATGGCTGATCAATGATTTTACTGGTAGTGGTTCAGCATTCTTTTTGGCATACAAACGCTAGCAAGGCTAGGAGCGGGCCAAGCGGGTCCAGGTCACGAGCTGGAGAGACGTTTCCCCTCTCTCCCCCCCCCCCCCCTCAAGTCATCATCACGACGTTCAATGACCCCGAAAACAAAAGCTCTGCGCTCGTCTCTTTCTGTAGGTTTCAAGCGCTAGGATACTGAAAGCGCCACGAAAGCCGCTTACTGGAAATAGCTTAGCGAAGCTGTAGGCACGGTCCGATCATGTATAGAAGTTGAAAATATGACGTCGAGATGATAGTGTGGCCCGCGACGATACCAGTTTCGCGGCAAAAAAGTGTAAGGGAGGGGCGCTATAACGCAATATAGGTTCAGTGACGCCTCCTTTTTCCAGTGACTCCGCCTCCAGACTCCGCCTCCAAAGCCCGCTTTTCAGTGAAAAACATTCCATTGGACTACCGTAATCGGCGGCTTAGCCTCTGGATGATAGGAGCAAAACAGCCGTACGCTATCAAGGGTCGGAACTCTTAACTGGATATGGCGAATACCCAGTTGACCTCCATTGGAAACCCGAATCACGGCACTAAAAATATTATTTACCGTTTTATTGCTCTTTTACCGTTTTTTCGTTCAGAAATTGTTATTTTTCCTCGTGAATTCCCATCTCACTAGATCGTAGCCTTTTCCGAAATGAACATTTTGAAAAAACGACAGAAAAAAGGAAAGGAAAGTCATTGTAGTTCTGGACATAATCTAAACGCACCTGATAGAGGCGTCGTGGGTTCAGTCTGAGTCTGGAGTTTTGTAGAAGAAGCAATACGGCTTGCTTGATAAATAATACTCGCTCCTGCTCCGTTGTTGTATGCTCAGCACTAATCGTTGCACTTGGGTCGAAGCTGTTTTTGTGTGATGTAAATAAAGAAATGATTTCTTTTCGCACACTAGCCATACCTACCGTTTTACGATCCATTCCAATAGTTCAGCGACAAGGCGGAAGTTCGGCGTGCGGAAGTTTTCGAGTGAAAGAATCCGGGGGTAGCCGATTGCCTTCGTCATCTCGCACACCGCCCACACACGAGATCTTCAAGAAGTATTCCCGCACTCACACATCACTCATACGATAAAATGTAATTCGCTATCACACGATATACAGCAGCACGCAAATCTCTTTGCTGCTCTAAGCTTTTTAGGTTAGGGATCATTTGTTTTCACTTGAGTTCGCGAGCAGTGGGAGCTATGGCTTTTAGTGGGATGTTGCTTTCAAAATAGCTACGCGCAACACGATTAGACTTCCCGAGACCAGTGGAAAAAGTCTATCTTAAAGGCACATTCCGCGAAAAAATAAGGCTATGACCTCTCAAATGTGTCGGACGATCCGGAAGGCGATTTTTGAGGCTGCGCTACTTTCAAAATGTGAAAAACGGCAAGAATGCTCTGCTGCTCAAAACGAAAAGCTAATGCTAATTAGGCCCATGGAACCCCTTAGGCCCCTGCCGACTCACCAGGTGCGTAGCAACTAGCTAGTCACCACTAGTTATAATTTCCTCTATATACATTTCCTCGGACTGCTTATCCTGGCTAACTCTTTCTCACAAGTGAACATCAGAATACTTGGTCACTTTTTTGTGCGCTATTTGAGTTTCGTTCCCGCAATTTGCGGTCGGAACTGTGGGCCTTTAAATAAGGGTAGAGATAAGCTAGGAGCCGAGCAAATGCCACTAGTATGCGGTTGATATCGTTACAGTTGCGGTGTCAAGTTGAGGTGTCAAGAGATATGGAAGTGGCCCACCCATTGCGTTTCCCCCACTGGTTGTTTTCTGCGTAAATCAGTCAGTGACCGATCACTATTGGAAGAGCAAGGCAGCCGAAGGCGGGCTCACTCCATCCCTCCTAACACCTCTCATTGCTATCGAAAGTATAGTATTGCCGACATGCACATAAAAGTGATGGCGTTTTTTTCTAACGTAAAATTTATGCGAAAGATGAAACGTCTGTGGAAATTTTATACTATAGCATTGTGTTGTCTCGCGTCATTGGAATCTGAATTCAGAAACATGAAGCGGCACCGAAAATTTATTGCAAAGTCTTGAAAGATCTAAAAAGAATCAAAGTTTGCGCATGCAAAAATATTCTTTTCATACGAATATTTCGTCTTGCATAGCAGTTTCCTCAGCTACTGAAAACAACAATTAGAAAAATGGACTGCTACTGCTACTGTACTGCTTCCAATTGATCCTGGACCCTGCCGCGTCTAATTGCCTCCTTAGAGGGGAGCCCGGAGATATGGGAGGTGTAATGGCACCCTAAACTTTTGAGTGGTAGTTGCTGAAACCATCTCGAAATCTTGTTTTCATTTCTGCTCACTAGTAAATTAATGCATTTTGATACCTCGAGGCGGGGCACCTGAAGGGTGCTATTCCACAGCCAGGGGGCAGCGGTCCAAGGCAGCGGAACAGCATCGTTGTGCGGAACACATGCAGGGGGAGTCCGTTTTGGAGAGAGGGATTGTGTGGTTGAAGCTGAGAAAAATTTTCCGGCCGTTGTTGATTTTTCGGGTTTTTTCCACGTTTGCTATAGAAGGCCCTCATTTGGGTGCCGCCAAGAAATTTGGAACTGGTTTACTATAACCTCTTTTCGATAGTTGAAAAACAATGGTTGTTTCCGGCGAAGCCTTCCCGCCGGCCGCCCTCTCACCGCTCGGTGCAATAACTTTTGACGAGAAAGTAGAAGGGGTTGAGGAGGCGGTCTTACCGGGAGGGGCTGGCTGTAGCGCAGGGTACAGCATGGGGATGTGTCAAATGGCGGTGGGGGTACGACCCCTCCCCCCCCTCGAAGAGGGTCCAGACACGACCCCCCCCTCTTGCTCTAAATTGAGCAACCAGCTATGGCAGTTCACACAAATCGACTTCCTGAAATGGAATGCTGGTTATCTCGAAAGCGGACACTCTGCTCTAACTGACGGAATAAAGGCTGTTCACGCCTCATGCAATTATGAGGCTGAACCACAGCTCGCAATTACCTATACAATTTTGTTTAGGATTCAAATAAAAACTGTGAAAAAATAGGACCCGCAAGGTGAGGCGTGTCAGGGCGCCAGATGTTTTCAATGAATGGTGCGACGGGGAAATAACATGAAAAATCACGACCAACAAAGCGAACCGATGGAAAAACATGGACATAACAAAAACTTAGGCAGAGCCAAATGAAAAAAGGACAACCAGGGGGCGGCAGTAATCGTTCATACTTGGCTATATATCGATCAGCGCTAGCAAGGGTGGCAAGGCTGCGAAACGACCGGGGCTTTCTCTTTGGAAAAACGTCATTAGAGCGCGGTTTTTTTACTTGCCAACGTCCTGGGGTCTGTTCGGGGGTTATATCTTTTTTTAGGTGCGGAGCTTTCGAGGAATGGTGAGCAGCATGCAACGGCAAAGTTTCTACTGTTGCGTATTCTACCTAGTTGCAAACTGAACAATCCCCGTTGGTGAAATATTCCGGATGGGTTTTGGATAGGCTAGGGGTAAATCGCGAGCTGGTTTCCATGCTTCACGCGATCGGGCGGGGGGGGAGAGGGCGCGGGAAAGGGTGGGGGCGAGCAGGGGCGAGGATTGCTTCGTTCAAACGCAATTTCATCAGGATTAAAACGTCCTGAAACCCCTCCATCCTTTCTCTTTCCAACAAGCTTCACGGTTTTTCTGAAGACCCACTAGTTCAGGAGATATTTTAGATGGGTTACCCTTGCGCTACCCCCTGGACCACCCGAAAAATTGACTCCTTATGTGCCATTGTGAGGATACAGCTTTCAGTGTGCCTCCAAAATACATATTTCCCTTCAAATGAGAGGAAGAGGAGCTCGGCTATCGCTAATCGGTGGTCCGTGCGCCGTGCATTAGGCTCCTACGGAGAGGTGGTGGAAAGGTGTAAATTCTAATTTCAGGTGCTTTTATCCATGCAAGCAGATGTTTGTTTAGGGTTTGTAAAGGACCCGACAGGAATCTGTTTGAGACGTATTATTTAGTCATCTACGTACTTACGAGTTCATGCTATAAACTGACACTTATTTATTTATTTATTCTTGCTATATTGCTAATAAATCTTTTATTATTTTGTATTCCTATTTACATCCGGGTCTTCTGAAGCTTTCCGTCCGTTCCATTACCCTTAGCAATGACACCTTTGTACTGTTTGATGCCTAGCGAGCCTACTTTTGCGCACTCCCCAAACGTCGCCCGGGCGCAAGTACCGAACGCCATTCCTTGAGGATTCGCCATGACACGAGGGGCTATTAAACGTAGCCATTAACAGCTGTAAAGAATAACACCCCCTCATAATCAAACTTCATGTTTTTTTTAGCATTCTTGATTCCAAGTAGGCTCACCTCCACTATCAACTGAAATGTCGAAGCATTGCTCAGCTCTGAGTGACCCTTGAGGTTACGACCCCCCCCCCTCCCCAGCGGCCAAGTACGACCCCCCTATGGGTTTCGCACACGATGTGTACGCCTGGCTGTACGCTAGACTTCTTTCATGGGGGGTCGTACTGACACCACCGTTTCACACATCACGATGCTATACCCTGGGTCAATTGGAGGCATACAACTAAGAGTTCATTTTCCTAATTTTGCTGTATGTCAGATCGCTGAAGGAGGTGCCAAGGACCTAAATATTTAGAGGAAGAACTAGAAAAATACGCAAGAACTTCTGGATTCTTACTTTGGAGTCTTTTGCAATAAAATTTTCGGTGCCTATTTATGTTTTCGTATTGGGGCATGGAAATTTTCAAAAATCCTCCACGTGGGCTATATATTTGAAGGTTAAAATGACAAAGAGAAACGTACTTCTTCGTTCTCGATACGACATTATGATGACAAGCACCACTCCGCAATGGTCGTTCAAGCGGCGTTTTCACCATGGCAACAGTCTTACACCTTAACCTTAGCTGCCCCCTACGAAGCTCCTGAGGGAATCTTCAACTCCAATGAAATTCTTGTTGAATGCAACAAGAATCTTGTTTCCATCTGTAATCGCTACTCAATTACTACAGTTCGCCTATCACCGAGATGGTGCTTTTTTCACGTCTTTTTCATTCCGTCCGGATACGGTAGCGCGGCAAGTCTGTAGCGCCCGAATGTCCAGTAAAGCTGCAGACGTGATTTTACGGCCTTCTTATCTCAGGCTGCTGATGCGACACTTCAACGTTTGATCAGCTTCATTTCGGGTTTCTCCATTTTACACAACTGCCAGTTCTTGTGAGGTGGATTTTGCTGTGTTTGTCCCTGAGTGTGAAGTATCTTCTCTATTTTTTTTCGTGTTTTCCCCTTAACTAGCTGCTTCTTCTGTTGGTCTTCTCTTTGTGGAATGCAACTGTGTTATTCTCATGTTTTCACTAACTAGCAAGATTTGTTGGCATAGCTTCTGAAGCAGGTCTTTCATGGCGCGCTGTGTGCGCCACCTTGGCTTCACACGACTAAATGGAGTAGAACCATTTTGTTTTCTTTGTCGGTGTTCAGGCTTATCTAAAAAGGCTTTGGAGACAACAGAGGCCTGTTGCAAGCAAAGAACCCCCAGAAAGTTTTCTAATTTGGCTGCGTCACGCTCGTGAGATGGCGTACTCTGGTCGCAATGTGCTTGGTTCCGCCAACAAATGACTCCTTGAGTTGGGCCTCAGCGTCTTGAGCTTCCCGAACAGGAGGATGCCCTGAGTCTTGGGCAGTTCTCGGTAGGCTACATAACGACACCTCCCGATATAATCTTTTTCCTCCATACGCCCACCCTTTCACAACCTGCTCCTCACCTGTCGTTTCTATCTTATTTTCGCATAAGTAGTTTATGCGATAGCTAGAAGGACAAGAATCAACTAGTGTAGATTTCCCATATGCGCGCTGCTGATAGCAAAATTATCAACTATTCGAACATTTTTTTCCGGGAGTCCATGACCCGCACCTCTCCCTCCACAGCGTAATTCAACTTACAACAAGGCGCACGCCATCGTATGAGATCGAAACGGGGTACGGGTCACCTTTGCCTCATTAGGAAGAAGTCGCCCATGATCTGCTACGA